CACAATCCCTTTGAAAGTTGTGGAATATATTCCCGCACTTGGTGTTGTTGTTCCAACTTCCAGAAATGCAACCAACGGCGAAATCGTAGGAAAAACGTCCTCAAGGAGATAGGCTGTAATGACGATAGTAATTGCTCATATCGATAGACTGGCTTGATATGTTTGTATCATCGCTGAATCCGTGCAAATTGGCAAGAAAGACGCTGATAATAAGGACGTTTCTTGGATCCGTTGAAAAGACTACACGTCAATTGGTGTAGCCTCCGTTGACCTGAGATCCTCCCAGAATCTTGTGTTCAGGTGCCCTATGGTGAAGTCACTTGCAATGTTGACTCCATCTTTACGTTATACGGGCTGTCTTTGGACGAGTTGAGTAAACTCGTCTAAGCAGCGCCCATCAATTGCATTTAAACTTCAGTTACATTTCATTTCGTTTGTGGCGGGCTGCATTCAGAACTGGTCCCTGGGCGCGTTCCTGGCACCCGCACAGGGTGCGGAACAGCATTGGAAGGTGAGCGCCCGTCCAGTTACGTGGCTGGCGGGTGTGGCGCCGTCTGGCGCAGCGTAATATCGCGCTCAGCGTCGATTGGCACCTATGGAAAGCGGAGATTCTTCAGGGCGCGGGGGTGGATCGACAGGAGGTGTAGCCGAACGTCACCACCGATTGGCAGCGATGGAGCGCACAAATTTCCAAAATGTGAAACTATATCGACGGGACAGGCTGGCGAAAGGGAGAGTCGACAGGTAGATGCGGAGCGTGAAGATTGTTCAAGCCACGAATGCGGATCAATGGGAGATGCAGGCAAATGGCAGCGACATATAGCATACCATTTCTATGCACCAATTTGAGGTGGAATGCGGATATAAACGATTTGTTTTTTTAGGGGAATGCGGTGAATGGGTGAGGGCATTGCAGCCACCGGCTTGAGTTGGAATGAGGATATGAAGAAGTTGTTTTGGGGGTTCAGGGGAACGCTGTGATCTTGTGAGGGCCCTCGAGCCACCGGCCTGAGTTAGAATGAGAATACGAGTGAGCTTGTTTTGGGGTTTAGGAAAATGCGCTAAACGAGTGAGGGCCCTCGGGCTGCCGGCTGGAGGTACGATGCAAATATGAGCAAGTCAACTCGGGTCAACGGAGTTTTAGACGATTTGTCCAGCAGACGAATTGTCCTTAGAAGAAATGGCCACCATCCCACGGGTTTTATGGCCGGTTTGGCATGGTTGCCTCGGCTCCCAAAAACGCGCTAACCGTGGAAAATTTAGTCTAGTACCCGGACACCGAGCATGCAGAACATTTTTCAAATCACCAATTGACTGCATGCATGGGCCCCACTGCCTCGGGTGATGCAGTTGGTCGAACCATGGATTATGCTTTGCTGGGGCGAATACGGAGCTAATGGCTACCTGCTCGCGTTGATATATAAGATTCCTTATTCCCACACACCGCTTCATCTGCGCATCGAAGCCGGGCCAGACTAGATGCACTTCCTCTTTCATTGCCCTAAGCCCAACGGTGTGCGCTAAAGGCGATTGACTGTATAATATACCTGTATACACGTTGTATATCATTGCGACGATGACAATTCACTGTTTGTCTACCTAACCTCTCGCCCTGTTGCATATACACTTGTTTCGGGCATTGCCATGGGCCATGTAGTTTGGTAAACTGAGAGTTGGATTCTGGATCAAATTTGTGCAATGCTTTGGAATTTCGATGAAAAAATCACCGGCACTTATTTATGGGGCAACAAAAGGACATGGTGGCTGCCTCCAGGCCCTGACATGCAGCGTTTCTTGATTGCGATTCTGCTGAGTTTTCTTGAATTGAAGTGAACTCAGTTGACACGAAACAGTGTTGGTCAACTGTCCATACAGTCTGAACTTCCTCTGCCCCAATTCTGTTGTCTTCTCTGAAACAAACAGAATATTTCTTTGTCATTCGAGCTTCGGTTGCCACTGCGGTGCTGTCCAAACTTGTGGCCATCATTTTGGAATACACAAACACAGATGGGACAGTCAGCATTGAGCACCATGGATTGGGCAGCATTTCACCGTTACTGCTGTCATGCGGCAACACTTTGAAATGTCACTTCGCTGCGAGAGCTCCCGTATTTCACGACGGCAAGAGCACATGGCCTCAAGGAATGCTGCTCCCTGTGCTGCACCGTTGTCGCCTGTTCTCTCGACTTCGCCACTCGCAGGCACAAGCGCGGGCCAGATCCGCGGTGATCTCCAGGCCTCATACGAAGCGCATGCACACTCTCTCTCTACATCAAGATCCGCTTTGAAGGCCGCTCAGAGAGAGTTTGGCGAACATCCTTCTCAAAGACTGGTATTCAAAGTTCTGGGACCCGATCTCTTCTGAAATTCTTGCGTATTGAAAGCGTAATCGTGCTTTTTGATGTTGGTTAATGTCATCGATGTCATTCAGGCTCAGCTCCCTAGGAAAAGATGAGGCTTTCTTGTTATCAATCCTTATTTTGATGCCAGGATGACTCAGCAGAATTACCTAACAATACAACTTCAAAACAGTTTTAAAGGAAAACACCGGTAAAAAAATTGTAGCGATTGCGGCGATTTGAAAACTGGGATGACAAAAGCGATGATAATCGATAAGAGCAGCCCAAAAGCCTGAAAATTGATCCATTCTAAGCACTACCTGGATGATTGAAATTTGAGGGAGGTTTTGCAATAAGTTATGACCTATTTGCCGCTGATCAGTGCCGGTTTTATGCATGTTCCCACCTTATTTTGTTTTTATTACAAATACATAAACTTTTAGCGTCAATGGCTGGCCCCTGTTCCGGTTCTTGTAATCCACTTCTCAGGGCAAAGCGCTCACGCAGAGATCGGTCTATTTGGAATTGTTACATGCTGGTGGAGCAGAGCGAGAGACGTCGATTGATGCTGCTCCCTCACATATATGCACCGTTACAATTCATCGTACACAACTATGTGTCCAATCAGTTTCTCAATGCTTCCCATTCACCACAGAATTACATTTCCTCTCAATCACATCCTTCGCCAGCGCCTGGCAGCACGTTCCAATCCCTCGGTCTAACCCATACACTCCATAACGATGTCCTTATCCAGGGACAATTCCCCTAACATCTATCCATCAATTTAATCATTGAAGACGTCCACACGTCACGAATGAGACTTCGTCATCCGGCCACGCTGTCCTCGAATACGCCGCTTCACTCCCGCTCAACGTCAATTTGACGTTGTGCGCACCAAAATCAAAACAGTGTCTTCCCTTAGGGAAGACGCTATGTCGATTTTTGTACGCTTAGCATCAATTTGACGTTAAACCCCCCCCCCCCCCCCTCCCTTCCCCGACTTGCTTGTGTTGTGTGCTCATTTTTGCTTCAGAGGCTCTATATCATATTTTTATAGCATGTAAAAGAGCCTCACATACACTTGCCTAGGCGGGGGTGCCCTTTGTATGACCTGTTTCTCTTTCTCTTTTGTAACAAGTCTTACCGCACCTAACCCCAACCCCTCCCTCAGCGTCAATCCTTGTTGTCGATCCTTATGTCGAAGCCAGGATGATTCAGCAACATTACCTAACAGCAATATTCAACTTCTAGGTGTTTCTAAGGAGAAATTAATGAAAGTCGTGCTGATTTCAGTGGGCTGAAAAATGGGATTCTAAATGCCATTATCAGTTGAGGCGGACAACCTCAATGGCTGCAAATTGATACATTCCAAAGCCTTCTTTGAAGATCGAACACCTGCAACAGGCTTAGGAACATGTCAGGGGTTGTTTGTCGTTTATCAGTGGCATTTTCGGGCATCTTCCTTCTGTCGATTTTGTGTCAATTACATAATCTTCTAGCGTCACGGGTCTGCCCCACACACACACACTCAGTGTCAATTTGATGTTAAGCATGCCAAAATCGACATAGTGTCTTCCCTTCGTGATGGTGGCGATCCTCCCTATTGATGTCATTGGTTTTCATAGAACAACTAGATTCTGGTGGCTAGTAGTCGGTGTGAAGGCCCCGCCCTCAAGGTGTGAAGTGCAGTTCCGTTTCACACAAACAGTCGATCACAGAAAATACAGTTACAAGATGTGGCATTGGGATTGCAAGGCTTGAGAGAATTCCAGCCTCCAGAAAAGGCCCTGCTAATCTTCTGGTAATGCTACATCTATTGTTCTCAGTTGCACATTATCCAAAGGTCGTTTATCGCAATGTGTAAAGGCAGAGCACTGCGTGGTGTTATGCCTCCATCTCGTTCCAACAGATCTCAAATTGAGATCTGAGATCAGATTGAGATTCTCAATCGCGTGTCCAAGTCGTGAGGCCATTTCCAAAACATGGTTTACCTGAAACCCAGGAGGAGAAAAGAGAGGGGAAATGCGGGGGAGGCTCAGCCAAGTTTCAACTCGCATTGGCGAGTTTAGTATAGCGTGCAGGATGAAATCGACACCATGGGGGGCCAGGGTCCAGATCTGGGACCTTGCTACAGGTGGCTGCTCGGGACAGTGGCACAAACCGTAAATAAGCCCAACCGCCTTTCCACCGTTCTGGAATCACCCACACTTTAAATGGTGTGTACATTCACCCAATCTGACAAGATCAGTCCCTTGGCGATCCCTTGAGCGTTCAAGTGCACAGCAGTCAGAGATTGCCTTCGCTGACACACAAGCTTCAGCAGTCTGTTGTTGTTGTTGAAACTCAGTCAATCGACCATGTGAAATGGGAGTTTCCCAGCAGCATCTGGAACCCAATTTTGCTTTCCCATGGCGTACAACAACGATTACCCATTTGCCTGGACGCCAAGTTCCTCAGCTTTGCCAGTCCTGCATTTGGAGCTGCGACACTGTCTTCATGGTTGGGGCGAAATTGACGTACTGTTGTTACATATGTTCAAGTTAACATAACAATGCAACATTTCTTGAACAAGCATAGTAGATTGTACTGTGTGTCTCGTCGTCTTGCAGGAGCAGGGCTTGTTGCGAGGAGTCACAATGTTCCAAATCACCTCCAAAGCGTCTAGGATGGCCCCGTATCCACCACCGTTGTGTCCCGGATTAGAACAAAAGGTTTGGAATCGATGCAGTGCGTCTCAAGACAGCACTCCAGCCACACAGCACCATACTGGTTGCCCCCGCACAGCCGCTCCAGCACACCCACGACGTGCCCCCTCAGACTGGGATTTCCACCCAAGTCCCCCGGCCCCTCCCCAAAGAATTCCACCCCATGGGGCCCATACACCAACCCATCAACCTCCCCTGTGGGGTCCTCCAAGTGCAAGCCAAAGGCAAATGTCCAGCTGGGCTCAAAGGCCGCGGAGTCATCCCTGTTTGAGGGACCCGCCTCGTAGGATCGCAGGTTCCGGCAGATTGCCAGAGGGTCCCTTGGCCGGAATTGCAGGCAGCGGACCACACACCTGAAGCTTGCCTGTTGCCCATCGGCTAGGCTCCTGAGCACATTTCGGAGAGGGGAGAGGGGAAGGTCGACGCGAGTGGTCGTGCCTGCGAGCCTGGTCCGCTCAGGCACCCACTCGGACTGTTTATCACCCTCCTCCCTGTCAGCATACTGGTGGAGCAACTGGGGGTTTGTGCGGCAGTACACCCACCCACTGGCCTCATTGAAGACTGCTGCAAGCTGTCCCCTTGCTGACACCACCTCCAATTTCTTGAACTTGACCATTTGGCCCACCAGCGGGAGGCCCACCTCTGGCCGCACTGCCACGTGCACTGGCAGCAACGTGCCCAGCTCTGGCATGTTCTTATGAACCTGCCAGGACAACGCCACCCTCTTCCGCGCTGATTCCTCCACCTGTGCACCTGAACCAGGCCCGCTGCCCCCTGCCCCCATGCTCCCTCGCCCACGCTTCCTTCCAACTCCCATCCCCTGCCCAGCCGCGGCAACCTCTCTGCAACCATTCATCGAGCCACCGTTCGTACCTTGATGGCCATCGCCTTCAAGGTTGCCATTTCCCTCTTCCCCCCCTTCCCCCGTACCCACCCCAGCGTCCACAAAGGGCAGCGGCTTGGCATCTGTGCCGTCCCACACCCAGATCACCTCGTTCCTCTCGCTCCCTTCCACCAACACAACCTTGCACTCCAAATACCCCGCCCCCCCCAGCCCAGGGTGAAGCCCCCGAATCATCTTGCCATACCTCGCCCGCGCCATCTCCACTCCTGGCACCTTCTTCGCTGCGAACCGCCTCAGGGCTCGAATCAGCCCCAACTCTGCATCGGCATCAGGCGTGTGGGATGCAGAAGACATCGCATAGGGCGCCAGGGTGTCCCCGATCCTGCCGTCGTACAGGCAGAACTCCAGCCCCTTGCCCACCTTGCCCATCAGCTGGGGGTGCCCCTCGAATTGCTGCGACTTTGCACGGTGCAGCCGGATGACGTCCCCCAGGCGGCGCGGCACGGGCAGACGTGCCTGATCTGCGCAGAAGGCCACCAGGGTGACGCCTGGGTCAGAATCGTCCATGTCCCCGCCGCCATCATCTGGGTCGATGGATGGGTCCAGCACGCGTAGCTGGCAGCACATGTCAGTGCCTTGCGTGTCCTTGGGTGGTGTGAAGGCGACGACCACAGCGAAGATGTTCACCACGCGACGGGGGACTGCCGTGGCCTGGGCCAGATCCAGGTACTGATATGCTGGCTGCGCCATGGTTGCACCTGCAATGACACAGACAACTAGTACCCTACGCTGTTGCAGAAGGTGTGGGAGGCGTGTGCCTTGAGTAGAAATTGTGAATAGAGAAGCAGCGACAAAGGGAGAACCGGCAAACTCGGGCTCCTGCAACTTTTTTCATGCATGTTTGGGATTCACTTTGTTGCAGTATCTTTGGCTGCATGTGCTCCGCACCTGGGGAGCTTGTGCACAGACGGCTGGGGCCCACAACTGCAATTTCACAGTGCCGATCCCGCTCGGCCTCCTGATGGCAGAGTTTTGGATCTGGCATGGCCTAGTGGGGGTGGGCTGCACCCCTCCAGCAGTGAGGGATGGCAAGTTCGAACGTATTGAGAGTTGTGATGCGGTGGTGTGAGTGGGAGGCGCCTATGCAGCTCACCAACAGCCCATATGCCCTATTTGCCACTTTGTCCAGTGGACTTGAGCCCAACAACAGAAATCTGCCAAAACTGCAGTGTCTGAAAGGTTTCAACTGCAACTATCAAAGAGGATGTGCACAGGGCATGTTAGAACATCATTCAGACCGTTCCAGCCTTTCATGAGTCGTTTTCAGTTACTGCAATTACATTAGTGTCCTTGCATCTATGCTCCCTCCCCTATAAGCGTCCACTGAGCGCTGGGCGGACTAAAATTCAACACAGCATGCTCCCTAAGTGAACTAGTGTGTTCCCCAAGACGACTGTGTTGCTTTGTCAAAGTCTTGAGGTGAGCTCCTGCAGGTCTTTTCGTTCCAAGAATAGCATTTTTTGTATGAAGAGAGTGAAAGAAGAGACATGCATCAAAAGAGTCAAAAATGTTGCCAATTGAGGGTGAGCATTCACGACAGATACAGATCAAACAACATCCTGCTTGAGTTAGTTCGTAGGAAAGACAATAAGGCTAAATGCCACACAACAACCAATTTACGTGGCAACCAAATTACAGATTCCACTCACTTCACAAGGCAAGGAAATGCACCCATGGATGTGTTGATGACTAGATGAGTGGCCTAATCAAATGCAGACAGTGACATTGTTCTGTACCCATCTCAATGCATCAACCCACATCCACCACTGGGTATGCACTGCACCATTTACTTCCTTTTGTGCACTACCCTGCCAAATTTTGAGTTGACTCAGGTCCGTCACCACTCCGTCTTTCAAGACTCAATAACCAGCATCACAGTGAAGCGAATATGTACTCACAACTGAGAAGATCGCCAGCTCAGCTGCCAGAAGGGTAACCAGGGACCTGTGCAGTGCAAATGCATAGCAGCAAGTCAGTTAACGGCATGCACCCTGCGCATCTGCCAGGATGTCTGCAAGCTGGGCAACAGTGGTACCATCCTAACTTTTGTTCATCAACCACCTCCTTGCTGCAACAGCATTCAACAGTAGTGGCAGCATGCAAGTTGCATCGTTGCTGAAAATCGCCCAGCATGGTGCATGTACTTACTGGTTTGAGGGTCGCCAGGGAGGTGCATGAACTCACTGGTGACAGGGTCACCAGCAGGATAGCCAAGGACCTGTGCAACACAAACGAATTTCAGCACGTGAGTGCCATGCACCCATTGGAGCTGCCAAGAAGACTGCAAAGATGGCCAACATCAATGGCAGCAAAAAAACAGGTTTGCACATGCAACGCCAAGTTGCGTGTGCACCTGCTGGTGGGGGCAGTGCATGACTTTGCAAGGACGTACGATTGCATCTTGCCAAAAGAACTGCCTGGCCGCCTACACGCGGCTCCTCCCGGCCTTGCCTTTCTTCCCCAGCCCACTCCATTCCCTGCACCTACTCCCTCCCCTGCCCCCCGCCCCAAACAAACAACAACAGTAAAAGAGCACCCAACCCCCGCAGCAGTACGCGCCTCTCCCCACGCCATTTCGGCCCCTGCGCCCTCCCTGTCCCCTTCCATCTGCGAGATTCCGCCAATTCCGCACCGCACCAGCGGCAATACCCGCCAGTCCGCCCCATTGTGGGGCGATGCCTGCGCCCCGCAGTCCTTCCCATCCCTGCGTCTCGTCGGTTCCCCTTTCCCTGCTCCAACTCTCCCCCACGCCATCCCCCGTATCAACCCACACCGAGCCCCCCTCTCCCCGCGCGCCCACCCGGCCCTCCCCATGTTTTCGATTTTTCGTGGTGCATTTGTGATGTGGCTCTCCCCTCTAGGGAGGCTGTATGTCATCTTTTACGGTGCGAAAAAGAGCCGCACCCTCGTTTGCTTCAGAAAGGTTGTCCTTCGTATCACTTGGTTTCTTTGTTTTGTAACAAATCCTACACGAGGCCCTTCCCCAGTCGAAAATCTTTTCCCCTCTAGCGGGGCAAACATGCGCTCCTCCTTGCCCCTCCATTCCCCCCCGCCATTCGATGCTGCATCACTCGCCTTGGTTCTGCGGTGCCCAGGCGTCCGATCAAAGGGGCAGCGACACAAGGGCGGGGAGTGTCGCGCCGGCGCGTGAGTAAAGCTCGTGGGGGCCGCGCAGGGCGCCAGGGACACGCAGAGTCGCCCTGGCAGGGGACGGTGGGGGGCGCGCTTCCAACTATGCCACCTCGGCAGCCCGACAAATGTGTCGCCCTTCCCAGGCTTGGCAGGAACTGGTCTTTCCTCTGGCTCCTTGTCTGTTCGGAGCTTTGTTTTGTGGGGTTTACGGCAGTTATATATTACAACTTTCCGCATAGTAACGCAACGCTTGGCCCTTTTTAGCGGAAAAGAATAAAATATCAATGCAAAGTTTGGCCTTTTGTCGCACATGAACGCATAAACAAATATTGACATTATGAAAGTTTTGTGATACGGAAGAGTTGATTATTTTGCGGTAGGGTGCACCGAATGCTGCAAAAACCAGGTTTTCAATAAAGCCTGGGGGATGAAACGTCTACTAGCAGTCTGTTGCCCTGTTGGATCTGCCGTTGCTAACATAATCGCGAATTGCCATAATTGCTAGTGGACCTAATTGCTGACCTAAAGATGGTTGCAGATAGGGCAAAAGAAGAATAGGGAGCTGCTGGGGGAAGACGTGATGAAGTGTGGCACAATGGCCTTGTGATTTAGGTGGACAAATTCTTCTTTTTTTTAGTCCCCAACTTTAGGTCACAAACAAATCTGCAACATATGCAAAAGTGAGGGTGTGGGACTGGCCGCAATTCATATAGTGAATGAACAGATACATCACTAAAGCCAACGTGGAAACTGGCATAGTCGTTGTGGAACTTGTCTCTACTGACACTATGTTGTATTGACAATTCCACAATGGCCTCATAATGCTTGCCAAAAATTACCCTTGAAACCCCCTGTCTTTAGCATTGTGTCAAATAGAATTAAATCCCTACAAGGGAGTCAACTGACCTAATTGTATGGTCACCAATAGTTCTATGAATCAACACCATTCATCAGTCGTCAAGCATTTCAATATCCTTTCTTGGATGTCAACATGTTGTTCATGTACGATGAGTACCTGCCATATGCACTGTATGCACCGATTGGAATGGCCTGAGTGTTGTGGAAATCATAGGGGGTGAACTATTTTCGCTCATTCAAAAGCTCATTGCCAGCCAATTTAGGTGGCAAGCATATTCTTGTGCTAATGAGCTACTCTGTCGATAGTTACGTATTCAAAAGAATTAAACTAATTTGCGGCATTGAGGGAATACCCTTCCGAAGTCTTACTTTTCATATCCAAGAACACCGAAGGCATAGGACAGCCACTTGAAAGGCACAACTTGAAAGTGCCACTATTCAAGGCATTTTGGGAAGTGGGAGTTTTGGGCCCCAAGGTTTCCAAGGGAGAGTCCTTGCTTTGGACTCTCTATGGCACTTGGAGGCCTTTTCTTTTTTTTAAAGTACTAAAGGGGGATTGTTGATGATTCATTGGGATCATTAGAGTTGTTCCCCCTCGGCTCTAGTATGTGGGAGAGAAGCTGGGGCTGATTTAACCCTATGTGGGACAGCCTGAAGCCACGGAAGCTTCCTGGCCTATTAGGACTATAAAAGTGGCATACATGTGCCACTCTGTAATTCTATATTCCATTTCTCACGATCATGACTGATCCTTGCCCACTCAGGGTGCGCCCCACCTTGCTGACCATCCACTGTACTGCCTCATCCAAAGCTCCCCGCAGGCCGCGTACCTTGGGCCCACCATGCTGAATGAGCAAGCGAGCGCCCCGACTGCATGCGCCTGGTCGGCGTCCTTGAGCCAGGCGCAGGGGGATCGATGCCCGAGGTATCTCCCCGCCAAGCGACTGCGAGTGACCGAGGAGCGGAACGGCCCAGTCCTTGGCAGAATACGGCGAGAATCGAGCGCCTGATACGAAAAGCGTGTGGGTGTGGGGTTCCTACCCTCTTTGAGCCGTGGACCCGTCTCGCCGGGCACCTAGGTCCTTACGGGGACCTAGGCGGGACCACCCCTGCTACTCCCATATCCTAATAAGGATAATGGTTACCATGGGATAAGGAATAGTAAGCATATCTTGGGCAGGGCGTCCCTTACACCAAGGGCCATTAGTAGGGCGTTCCCCACATCAGGCCGGTGTGCGTAACATTCGTCCCCCTCAGGGAGTGGGGCGTCCTCATCCCTATATGTGGATACGGGAGCAGAAACATAATGTATGTACGCGATAACTGGCTGTGCGGTTTGCCACATGCCCAGTTTGCGTAGTTGTATGACAACTATGATGAAGAGAAAGAGTGGTTGTTTTACATGACCTGCCGGCCTTTGACAACCCTCATTAAAACTCTTCGTTCAGCACGTTGGCTGCAATGTTCTGACCTTCCGACCTATATCCATCAAGGGAAAACATGTGGAACATGTAGGCTGACCTGCACGTCCCCGACCCCGATACATGCGGCCACCCTCTGCCCAACTGTGACCACCTCAAGAATATGGACCTCGTCCTCACCCACGTGCACGAACGGGCTCTCGAGGGGGTTGGATCAACGGCTGCTCAGTGGCCAGGCGCTCCCCGCTCAAGATAGCTGCGGACATTCATATGTCCGAA